ATAATGTTATTTTTAGCAACATCATATGACCCCTTTAAGAAATTAATTTACATGAATTAGAAGTCTTAGAGATGATGTGTTCAATTTGTTTGCATTTTAAAGGTATTGTTTACTCTTATGAAAATTCTGTCCTTTACAGTGACCCTCATCAAAGAAGATATTTTGAAAAGTGTCTTGGTGTTTTATTTTTTTTGTCAATACAATCAAAGTCAATAGGGTATGGAAGCCCGTGTCTGCTGCGGAACAAAAAATTGTGACTTTATTTTTCTTTCTTGTATGTCGGAGTAATATCTCAGTTTACGTTTTTTCAGAATTGAGAGAGATAAACTCTCAATTCTAAGAAGAAACATCAGAATTGTGAGATATAAACTTGCAATTGCAAGAAAAAAAGTCATAAATGTTTTTTATTCTGTGGAGGAAACAACAAATTGTATTGCGAGATGTAAACTCAGAATTCTGTGGGGAAAAAAAGAAATGACTCAGAATTGCAAGATATAACTCAGAATTCTGAGATGTAAACTCAGAATTACAACAAAAAACTCAGAATTGTCATTTTATATCAACTTTTTTCTCAGAATTCTGAGTTTACAATTTTCAGAATTGTGAGAAACAAAGTCTGAATTGTGAAATAAAAAGATGCAATTACATTTTTTTTTTAATCTGTGGCGGAAACAGGCTCCCATAATAGGGTCCAATGTTTCTTGAACCCCATTGACTTTCAAAGTATCTTCTTCTGTGTTCCAACAGCATAGTGCTATTTTTGCTATTGAAGACTTTATTTGAAGAATGTGTGATGGTATTGGATTTTGGCTCTAGGGATCGTGGAAGTGGGGTCCTAATGGCCATGGTGCAATTCTGCTGGTCAACTGTGACTCTGAGTCCACATACAAGAAGACACTGGACAGTGAGGTTGATGAGATCAGTAAAGTCTCGGGTGAGTCTGGGCAGGTCTGGTGTCAGATATGGGAACGCCGCAGACGATTGTTAAGTGTAAACAGACTTTGTACTAAAGCCCAGTGTGTTGTGTACTTACCATTTTTAAGCACCGTAGGCAAGCAAAATCATGCTTCCTTATTATTAATCCTGTTTGGACAGAATACATTGGAAGTCCAGTAAAACTTTTTTTCCCTTTCAAATTTAAATCAAATTGGTTTATTTAGTACTAATAAATATCCATAGAAAATAGATCCATAAAAAAATAAAATTAAATGTACAATTTCGCTTAATTGTGTATTTTTCGGTGCATATTAAACTGTTAGCTTAGTTAACATCTGACTCTACTCCTCAAATGCCATGCTGTGGAAAGGAAGTGAGAATTATCTAAATGTGTTTTGATGGCAGATTTGCAGGACATGTCCAAGATGATCCTGCGCACCAACGGCCCAGCTGAACTTCCTGAAGGCTATAAACTGACCATGCACATCTCACAGACCACTTCAGAGAGCGTGAGAGTCTTCAGACCTCAGACAAATGTACAGAAAGACAATGTGTGGAGTGAGTGAATAATACAATATTTTATATAATATACAAAAAATGTTTTCAGTATACATTTTGAGTTTTTTTTTTTTTACTTTTTGGAGCTTGTGTTTATTATGAACTTTAAAATTTTGTAGCCTGTCTTAGTTATTAGTTATTTCATTTAAATTGAAATATATGTAGATACACACAGACACACTTAATTCAATTAGAAGCAAAAACTGATGCATTATAAAGGAACATCAGTACTTTACTGAATGGGTCCTCTTTCTTTCTTACCAGAGCATAAACTCCTGAAGTTGTTCCTGAAAGATTATATAATGGTGGTGGGAACGGACATGCTGACACAGAAAGTGCCCTATCTAGGAGGCAAAACTGAACTGGAATTCTTTGTAGAGGGTCTTCATTTCCCTGATAGAGACTTTGATGGGCTCATCACCATCAACCTCAGTCTACTAGAGCCCTGTGGCAAGGTTAGTCTGATCTGATCTCTCATGCAACCTGGAGGACATACAACATTCTGTTCTTTTACTTACTGCAAGAACTACTCCAGTCTTGTAATAAAAGTTACATTACAACACTCTTCTATAAAATTAGTTTTTTGGGGTAATATCATTCTCTTATAACCTCTAAATACTAATTACATTTGTTGTTATTATTTTCTTAAAGGATTTCCCTGAAACTCCAGTCTTTACAGATAAAGTGGTATTTCATGTTTCTCCCTGGATCATGACCCCAAACACACTCAAACCTGTGGAGGTGTATGTGTGCAGGTGATTCAGTCCAAGCTTCCGTTTAACCCTTCATATAACAAATAATGCCATTTCCAGAAATAAATATATTTTTTTCAGTCATGGGGAATACTGACTGTTTTGTCTTTCTTGCAGCACAAATGATAACTACTCGTTCCTGAAGAGCATAAAGAACCTGGTGGAAAAGTGTGGCTACAAACTGAAAATATGTCATGAGTACATGAACCGAGGTGACCGCTGGATGCAGGTCAGTGAAATCTGCATAGGATGATGTATTGTAAACTAGACAAGCATGTCAGGTGACTGTCATATGAGATGAGTAATTCCTACTTGACTCTCTTTCCACAGGATGAGCTTGAGTTTGGCTACATTGACTCTCCTCATCATCAGTTCCCTGTTGTACTGGACTCTCCTCGTGATGGAGATCTTCAGGATTTCCCCTACGAGTCCATTCTGGTGAGTGAGACGGATAAATGCTCAAAGAAAAATTCACCCAAAATGCTCATGTTATTCCAAACCAACATTGGCATCAAATTCTGAGCATGTACTAATCTAAAGATTGTGTCACAGGGGCCAGACTTCGGGTACGTGACACGGCATGCTTTGAATGAGAAAGTGAGCAGTCTGGACTCCTTTGGTAACCTGGAAGTTAGTCCACCAGTCACAGTGAACGGGAAAAGTTACCCACTTGGCAGAATCCTCATTGGAGTGGCGTTCCCTACGTAAGCACCACAACTCTACCCTCCTAACAGTAACCACTACTAAAACATTGACGTCGTTATTTACTCGACTTCATATTGTTCCAAACAAGATATATGTTGATATAATACAAACTATTACCTGAAAGAATAATTCATCAAGAATATTTGCATTTAATTTGAAGTGCAACACGTGGCCGCAACATGACCCAAGTTGTCCAGGACTTCCTGTGGGCACAGAAGGTTCAAGAGCCAATAGCGCTGTACTCTGATTGGCTGGTTGTGGGTCATGTGGATGAGTTCATGACCTTTGTTCCAGCTCCTGACCGAAAGGTAAACCGATACGCTCAGAATACTACAATACACTACCAGTCAAAAGATTGTAATAATTAAGACTTTATGCTCACCAAGGCTGCATTTAATCAAAAATACATTAAAAACTGTAAATTTTTTAAATGCCAGTACTTTATTCTGAACACAGCCAGTTTTTGGTTAAATACCCAAAACAATGCTAACCGTAATGGCTGGATTGTTCAGAAATTCAGGTTGCTGCTGGCCAGCCCTGACGCCGGATACAAAGTTTTCAAAAGCTTGCAAAACAACGGACATGGAAAAGCAGAAATGTTTCCGGGTAAACACTCACCAATTTTCTGTTTCAAAAAAGTTTACGGTCCACCACAGCTAACAGTTTTGCCTGAACAGGTTTGCCAGAGGCCATCTCTGTAAATGAGATCCTGAGCGACAAAAAGCTACAGGCTGAAAACAGATACGTGCAGGTCAGGGAAATACACAACATTCACAAATACCGCTTTAACACATGACATTAAGATGCGCTTTGTGTCCAAACAGTACCTAGATATATTTGTAGCCAGATTTGACCGATTATGGAAGAGAATAATGCTGGCATCTTCTAATCTTTCACTCAGAACTGTATTGACTGGAACAGGGACGTGCTGAAGAAAGAGCTGGGGTTGGATGATGAGGACATCATTGATTTGCCCATCCTGTTTAAAGTGTTAGAAGAGAAAACGTACCCCAGGGCTGTGGCTTACTATCCCGACATGGTACAGCACATTACATTTTAAAACAAATGTTTTGTATTTCAATACATTTTAAAATGTAATTTTATTGCTATGATGCCAAGCTGAATTTTCAGCATCATTTCTCCAGTCTTCAATGTCACATGATCCTTCAGAAATCATTCTAATATGCTGATTTGCTGCTTAAGAAACATTAATTGCCATTATCAATCTTGAAACCAGTGCATAGCGTAATGTAAAGCATCATTAACCTATCCTACCAAATACCCATTCATATTCTACAATCAGGAATATTAAGCTACTTGAGGAATCTGCTATTATAGTTTTCCCATTACATTGACCTTTGTTTTGATGCATTACCTGTATTTACCCTCAGGTGAACATGATCGTGTTGGGGGATCAGCTGGGCATCCCAAAACCGTTTGGGCCGAAGGTGAATGGCAGGTGTGCTCTGGAGACGGAGGCGTGTTCTCTTCTGGAGCCTCTGGGCCTCAAATGTACCTTCATTGATGACTTGACCCCGTACCACAAACTGCTGGGTGAAGTTCACTGCGGGTCCAACGTTCTTCGAGAGCCGTCCCCTTTCAAATGGTGGAACCTAGAGCTGTGAGAGAGAGAGAGACTAGACCGGTCAAGTGCCTATTAAGTCTAGAAATAAGCAATTCATAGAGCAAAATACTAATCGGATAATCTAAAAATGGAAATTCTCATGATTTACTCACCCTCATGTTGTTCAAGCAGCTCTTTTCCATATAATGATAAAGTGCTGTCAAGCTCCCAAAAACGAATGCGAAATCCCCCAAAATCATTCATATCACTATGCAATGTGTTCTGAATTCATATAACGGCTTTCCATGAGGGACAGACAGAAACGTATGTGCCTATTCTTTGATGAAAATCCAACTTTTTCAGTAAATGCAACTTGAAGAAGAGAGCAAATCGTGCACTTATGAAACAACATGAGTGTGAGGAGACAACAGTTTTTAGTACTTCGTAAAATTCTTATAACTTTCCTCTGATAATCAGGCCTTGTTTTAGCAGTATAGTTCCTCCTCAGGCTGCAGTGGTGCTGCTTCAGGATTTCTAAAAAAAAAAATTAAGGGCTTACAATTATACATAATGCTTTGAAAAGTGGTTTAAAATAATGTTAACCATTTAGAGACCTGTTGTTTATCTTTTCTAACAAAAGTTAAAAAAAGTTCACAAAGTCTGTACTGGGTTTTTATAACTATGAATGTTCATTCTGTGTTGCCTTACTAATAATGACTGAGAATTTGATTTGAGTTTGTCTTGGGTGTAAATTTTTTCCATAATGAACATTACAGCAATAAATAAACATTTCATGACCCCTCTGATCTTTATTAAACACGATTTCTTTTGTTTTATTACAAAAAAAGAAGAAAATGTCTTATTTACAGTGAAACATTTAATAAAGTAGCATAATAAGCACTTGTAAAGGAGAACAATCACTTGCAGAAAGCAGTCAGTGTTTTTGGAATGAGTTTGTGCTTAATGGCTCTAACATGTGCAAACGCATTATGTACAGTTCGACCAATCAGCAGAGACTTGGGGCTCTGACACAGCGAACGTATGGCTTCAGCCAACCAAAAATATTTTTCCCTTTTCCATGAACTCTTTTAAAAGGATCACCCCTGAAAGCACCCAAACAGCATTATTTATAAGCCTAAATCTCCCAGAAAATTTGACTACCTCTTCAAACAAGAAGCAAATTGGGATATTAGTCTTACAAAAAAAGTACCAAGTTATTTTCATGTTTCTGAACATGAAACTGGTAATGCCATGTTTCTTCTATAATGGTAATACCATGGTATTCTTTGAAATATGCATCATAAACAGTAAATACCATAGTATTTTAAGGAGCTGTAAAGTGACAAATGTTTTGGCAAACAACATGAATTGCAAATGTTTAATTTTATGAGAGTAGATTAGCTCAAGTCATTAGCTGAAAAAAAGTCTATATCCCATATATCAATGAGATGAATGGTAATGCTAACGGATAGCATTAACACCATAGTACTATATTTAAAAACTAAATTTATTATATGATCTAAAATGGGCAGTTTTGTTCGCCAAAAAACATGAATAAAACGTGCATTTGTGTTTGAAAACAAAATAAAATGCCCAACATTTGCTATTGAACAAAGCATCTGATCAATATATTCCGACCTAGTGTATTCCATAATCCATATCCACTATCATATGTGTGTCTGCAGTTTTACATTCATATTGCTCACATGTCATATAAGCTCAAATGTCTTCAGGACTTCAATATATCTGACTTGAGAGACACTGATGTTTTAATCTGCACAGCTAGCTTTAAAAACATGAGGCTACTACATTAGTGTACAGTTTACACACGTCAGTTTTACCACAAACAGCTGTGGCCTTACAAAAATATGTTGATTGGTAAAACAGCATAATCTTAATAAATAATATTTGAAAAGTATACAGCATATCACACCTGATCTATTCATCATAAATTATAATGCCTACGCTTCATTTATTGGACGGGATTCGGAAATGGCTTGGGTGCTCGACACCAGAAGATACACTGAAATACAACATTTAACATTTACCTATATTCATTTTCAGCATCATTACATCATGACACAAAAGGAAACAAAACAGAACCACACATAGATGTGTATTACTTTGTGGGTTCACCTGATGGGTTTAAGTTTAACCTCATTTGTTTTTCTTAAAGATGCCGAAAGCTGGTGACTGCTTCCCACCCCCGTCACTAAAAGATCTACTCACCACAGTGAGCCTCAATAAATAAATAAATATGACAAATAAAACCCAAACCCACACAATGAGAGCTACAGTTGGAAAAGAAAGAAAGAAAGAAAGAAAGAAAGAAAGAAAGAAAGCAGCCTATGATAAGGCCACAATCATGCGTGATTCATTGCCAGCTGGCAGCTCTTTTCTGTTCTTCTAGACGTGTACCAGCCTTCAGCACAAGCCAGGCAGGTTTGCTATTGTGTCTACAGACCAACAGCCACATGATAGAAGATAAACGGGTTGAGTCCTTAAAAGAGCACGCTGATATTCTGATGCACACTTGCCCAACTGTATGCCGCGGGGCTGGAACTAGCAGTTCAATCCCCTTCACATCCGTGTCTCTACAGGAACTCTTGTGAGCACGTCTAGTGTCCGCTGCAGAGGGCTGCTTATGAAAATGCTGAAAATAACACATAATTAATGATTGATGAGGAGAATAAGATTTATACATAAATGCATATACTGTATATACAGTTCAAAAGTTTAGGGTTGGCAAGACTGTTTAATGTTTTTTGAAAAGTCTCATCCTCTCACCAAGG